GTCATTGTAACGTAATTTCATTTTGATGGAAATCCAAATGACAAATAAAGTCTGTCTAGTCTAGATCTCTCTAAATAAGAGCTTTTTAACTGCAGTACCTCATGCAAATGCTTTTTCTGACAATGAAAAATGAAATGTGATTGTCAGCTTGCAGTATCTTCTGCCCTATAATTGTACAAGAGGAAGTTAAGCCACAAACCAAAATTCGAGCACATACTGCTGCTACCACTTGCACTGATCAACACAGGTTTTATATGCCTCATTTTACCATCCGTGATCATGTGGAACAAAGTCCACTTGATGAGGAAGTGTCCTTTCTCAGGAGGAAATTGGCCCAACAGGTCTTACAACAAGCAGATGCTGAAATTGCAAAGCCATTCACCCGTCTCTTGATGTTCTCATAAAACCAGAGTGCCCAACCAATCTATTCAGTCAAGTTTCTTGTAACACTTCCTTATCAAAGCAAATATTTGAAGCCTTGCCAATATTTACACACCCTGAACAAGACAAACACGTAATCTTTAACAGCACAGCTACAAAAGAAATGTTCTTTTTCTCTAAACCAATGAGGACAATTTGACTGATGGAAAATCAATCAGTGTGTCAGTGTGTGAGTATAAGAATACTGTTTTCTTATGGAGGGACAATGCCTCATATAACACATGAGGGAGCTTCGCATATAAAACCTATTTCTATAGGCCTGCTTAGATCATGTATGCAGATTCTGTCCGAAAGTAAATACAGTATGAATGTCGTCAACTGTGGTTCTGTAGCTCAAACTGCATTTGCAACAGTTGCAAAACGCCATTTCAGTAGCTTAATTAATTATTAAATAAATTGTGCCTTTTCTTTCTTATATAGTGTATTTTTATTGAGAACAGCTGTAGCAGCCTGTACGTGATAGAAGCCCTAGAAGTATTACATTATAGGACACAAATATAACAGCAGGAAACGGTAATCTGATACACTGTTAATCTCCAACAAGAGCATTTAAAGAAACATTTACAAGGGAAATAAATCACACACAAAAAAATAAGTAGGCAATATTAAAAAAATGACTAAAGGTACAATAAACACTATAAAGTCATTTCTGAGTGTGTCACATGAAGGGAATATTAAAACAGGAGCGTTTTACGGTCAGCTCAGGAGGGAAATACGCGCATTGAAGTGTCAGACTTATTCCGAGCTCATTCGCACGTAGTTCCAAGGTTAAAATCAAGGGCGTATTCAACATGTAGTATAATTAAACTTACTCAGAGATAAAGCGCAGTCCCTGTTCGCTCTCCTGGTGTGAGGAAGACGACTGAAACCCCCGGCTGGGGTGTCTTTATTGTCTTCAGATGTCACCTACCACCCCCCGTCCGACTCCCTTTATGTCTCCAATTGCTCTGCTCTTCCTCACTACCTCCTCCCCGTATTTGACTCGTTAATCTCGGTGTGGGCGGGACCGACTCCCCACGGTAGAAGCTACGTTTGAACAGTTTCGGCAAATAAAAAATAAAAAATAAAAAATAAAGAGAGAAGTTATTTCCTATTTTTTTTTTTTTTTTAAAGCTGAAAGTGGTTTATGTGTCGTTTAAAAACTGTGACTGCTTCAGTGCATGTCGCTCTCTGCTTAGCGACCTGTCGACATTAAGATGCGTTCACACGAGTTTACCTTTACAGGTGAGTCGGTTAGAGTTAGTTTAAATAGACCAGTGTCACAACCTGCGGGCTTTATAGCAAGTAGGGCTATCTGGTGTTGGATCAGGTCTCAAGTAAAAATTTTGCATATTCAGCATTGACTGTTGGTCAAACCAAATTACACAAGTTACAGGTGTACTGTGTGTTCTACAAACATTTGTTTCTTTTAAGTTTTTTTTTGTTGATTCTGTTTTCTTAATTAAAGGCCACATAGAGGATATTTTCAATGTCTGATTTTATTTTAATGGAGTAAATTCATGTATTCATGTCAATGTAAAACAATGGACTCAGTTATTTAAGATAAATTGTTAAAATAATTGTACTTTAACATACATTTTAATTTAATTAAGACATAGTACGTGCATTGATGAGAAGGGGATAACATGTAGCAATGAGTATTGTATTTTACCTTATTTCTTTGCTAGATTTGTTATAATTTAGGCCTTTTAAATCGTCCACACCCACCTTGTTGGCTTGATATATAGTAGAAATGCCAAGGGTAAGTATTGGGTTTTGTTTGTCTTGTTGACAATATGTCTATGTGGAGCATGGTTTTAAATTTCAGAGGTGGGTGGGGGTTTGCAGACAATAGGGGGCCTGCCCCACCTGGTCCCGACCGAAACATGCCTTGTAGTCAAGTTAAATCAAATGGCTTTGTCGGGATAAAAGATTGATGAATTGCCTTTATTTTTTAACTAGCGACACATGCTAGTGCCTCCTAAAATTTCATGTTGGACACAAGAGCAGTTTCTACCCACAGGCCATCACTCTGATTAACAGTGTCAGGAACAAACCCTGTGCAATAACCCTGAGACTCAAATATCCACTGCACCTGTGAATGATTTAGTCTCATTGTTTAAATACACATTATTTAAAAAAAACCTATCAATACCATTAAAAAAAATATATGCATGTCTTGCACACTGTACTGTACACACCTCATAATAACCTGCACAAAATATTTATACCAGCATCCTTCACACGCTGCACAATTAAATTATTGTTTTACTGTCTACAATGTTATATTTGCATGTGTGTGTGTGTATATACACATAAACACTGTAGTAGTTTATGTTTACGTTTTAGAGCTTATGTGTATGTACAATTGGAGCAAAGTAAAACTGGACTCTTGTATGTGTACACATACTTTGATAGAGCACATAAATACAGAGAAAAAAAAGATCAATACACATACTGAAGCACAGGAAACAGGAAACAACGAGGTGTTAATGTGGTAAGTAACTATAAGGATGTACAGAAAGAGAACAAGAGCACAAAGAGGCAGACATACTTAATCTTTTCCAGTTCACTGTAAAACCAGATAACTTAATTTAAGACAAACAATTGGTGAAATTGATCACATCAGCATTTTTGAGTAAAATTAACTTTATTTTGTTTTAGTTAAAAAACATTCAAAAAAAGTAAGAATGACTTCATTTTGTAATATTTATTTGTATTGTAAAAACACAATACCCAGTAAAAAGTTATTACTCACAAATGATTTTGTATCTTACAAAACTAAATTAGTTCAACTTAAAATTACTAGTAAAAGCTGCTTAATCGTTTAAAAAAGACTCTTGAATAAGCAAAATTGAGTTTGTGTTACTTTAAGATTTTGATGTAACCAGTTTTTACCTTCCAAGTTTAATTTTAATACACTGGACAAACACACAAGTAACATTCATTCTCTCACCAGAGCTTAATGATTAAACCCAAATCATTTGAGTGTCGGATCCTTGATGTTCCCACCTCTGTGGAAGCCCTGAGGCGACGCAGCGAATTGATTAGTCTGATGAACCTCATTATTCCCTGAACTGAAACTACACAGTATCACACTCAGTTCCTTTAGAAAAGTAAATGCTCCGGTACACTTAATGCTTGGATCCTAAGGCACCAAAGGCACCAACCCCCTTTGGCACCACCCTTGACACACAAGACAAACTTGGAACTGTTAATAGTACATACGCTGGTACAGAGTTTCCTTAGAAACAAAAAGTGTTAAAAGAAGCAGTATTAGGCTGCTCCTAACACATTCAAATCTTTATGAGTTTAATTTCACATAGTGTAGTAGAGATAGTATTGTATTGCAACTTTTACAACGTGTAAGCAGACACCTACACCTTTACATCTTTTGTCTCACACCCCGCCTCTCCCCGCCTCCTCCTTCCATATCCCGGATGTATGTGTCCGCTCCATTGCTTCGGTGGTCAGCAGTAAGTCTTACAAAGACGCCCAAGAAACTAATAAAATAAATGCGTCGGCGTTTAATGGGAGATCGCCGATTGAACTAGCACCCTTAATAGTAATATTCTCAGAATAATCGTTATTACGACTAATTATCTTTATCAAACTTTTTATTTTTTTTAAAGTGTAAGACTTGTTTTCCACCAGCAGATGTCACCACAGAGCAAAACATTACCCGTCATTGTCTGCTGCCGCATTGTACCTGTTGACCTTTATCACAGCCATATTTGATTAACACAGAACCGTGAATCTAAGTGAATATGGCCGCTTTTGCCTTGGTCTTTATGGAATCTGTGAGCCTGGTGAAAGTCATCTATCATCCACAATAACCAGCGGGAAAGATCTTCCCAAATGGGTCAGCATAAAACACATAAAATAGGGGGTGCCCTTGAATGAATTAAACTGAGATAATTTAATATGATAAATATGTGAGCAGTTGATTGAGTAGGTTTTCCTCAGGCAGCTACAAAAGGTTTGTGCTGATGTGTCAAAAAGCACTGAAAACTAGTGACATCTAATTACATTATTACCAGAACACCATAAATACAAGTATGGGATGCTTATAATATTGGTAAAGACTAAACACACCATCTAACACTATTGGTCAGCCACATAATAATTAGGTAGCCTACTGAATGATTCAATAATGAAGTGAGTAGGTAATAATAAAGTCAGAAGAATATCAATGTTAAACCTGTTTCTGCATTTGGCTCCCTTACAATTAGATCATCTGTTGGCTAAACCTGCTGTGTGAGTTCTAGCAATATTTTGATGGTTTGTCATACGGAAAAACGTGGGTGGCCTTAACAAAAGCACACTTCACCATTCAAGTCAACAGAAAAGCTAGTTGTTCTATGAGACTGTTTTATAACCACAGCAGTGCTTTGAACTAAATGTCAATGTCACATGCTAACACTTGCTAAATAGCCTTACATTTTAAAAAAGTACTACACGGAGGACCTGATGATGGGAAGGTCGGGGGGAGGGGCTAGGATAAATGTTAAGCATGAATTTCTGAACAAAATTTGAGTTGTTTCACAAGAGAGATGAAAACTTTGACCTGCTGGTGGTTCTAGAAGAAAACTCAAGGGGGTTTTATTGCAACCCATGCTGTACTTGTTGGGATATTTCAGTCATCCATTGCCATCCGCAGAGCCATGCAGCTAGAATGACTAAAAATGAAAACAATATATAATCTCTAAATTACATTTATTTTTTCCATATACATTACAGGCAGATGAAAACCGACTTACATAAAGTGAATTCAAACCACGCAGAAGCAAGAGCTACTTATCTAAAATTGGCAGTGTATCCCTTTTAAGCAAATAAATAACTAAAATCATGTTCAATGAAACAGTACAAGTGCTTAGAGACCACAGGGTCCTGTGAGTTATAGGATTGCTGAACATCCAGAGCACCATGGTCAGGCCGGGGATGTGGGATTTGACCATGGCTTGGTAGTAGGAAGGACCAGTTTGAACTGGTTTGAACATCAACCGCAGCACCATGTTCGACATGAGCTGGCAAAAAAAAAGCATACGATAAACAAATATGATGATGAAATCTGATGTGTTCACAATATGGTGTAACATCAGACTGACTTCCTGGAAACAACTATCTGATTTTACACACAGACAAGATATTACACTTAGTGAACTTTAGAGCTGTTGGTAGGCTGATTTGGATAGACAGGCTGACTGCCCCCCCCATTTCTAGNNCATTTCTAGTTTTTATGCTAAGTTAAGCTAACCAGCTGCTGGCTGTAACTTCACATTTACTGTACATACATGAAAATGGTAACAATCTTCTTATCTAACACACAAGAAAGCGAATAAACACATTTCCCAGAATTTCACACTCTTCCTTTGAGGTTATAACAGTTGTCAGTAGCTATAATGCACAAAGCATTTATAAATAAAAACAGATTCAAAATCTGAACAAAGTTGGGTAAGTGTATCCTATAAAGTCATATTAAAATTTGAATTCTTAATTCAAAAAGTCCATGTGCATAAAAAATTAAGAGCTACCCTAAAGTTAACATTTGTTATTGACTATACCTATTATTATCCTGTCATGAAAGCCAACAGTGTACAGTAAATGTGACAATTTTCTAACACTTTCTTGGTTGATTCTGACAAATGGATAAATGAATATTAAAGGTCAAATACTTCACAACCACAGACCACACTGCCAGACACACACACAATAAAACAGTGCAAAGTTTTCACAGCAGATCAGAAGATCTTCATTCTGCACACATCAGTGCAAAGCTCTGCACCCTCGCTGCTTCCCTGCTGCTTGCTTCTGCACATTTTGTAACGCCCCGGCCCCCATATATACAAAGTATTTAGGCATATGCAAATGTTTTATGTTTTTGTTGTAGCTCAGGGAGAGACTAGGTCAAACTATGATCTAAAGCAGTGGTTCCTAGCCTCACGAAAAAAATCTTTTTTATTATTTACTATTAAAAAAAAACTTTGTTGTGTTTTAACAGGTGATTAAGTATTTAACAGAGAATAATAAAAGAAATGCCTTATGTTTGGCAAATCAGTCAGTCGTAACAAGATGGTATGGTTAGTTTTACATGACCAATAGAGATACTGTAGAATGACTTGTGCTATGTAGTTTCTTCTACTAAGTTCACCCACAGAACGAAGCCACCAGCTGTTACAGAGCATCATATGAGCAGAGTAACACTGCCAAACTTGTGTATTGTTGCAGTAAATGATTAAAACCTGAAATATGTAATTCCATATTGTGGCGCCCCCTGGGGTCACTGA